AGTTTAAAACTTAAAAGAGCGGATTTAAATCAATTTTTTTTTAAATCGGATATTAGGAATCAAAGTTTAATATTTCAAAATTATTTTAGATTAACCCTTAACTAGTCGCGCAGGTGCACTGAGTGCTCCGTTTTTATTACAACCTATAAGTATAACTTTTTGTCGTTTTCTTGGAATTTAATGGCTTTTCCATGTAACCTATGACTGATGTGTCTACCATGCACTATCGACGGCATATTAAGTTTAAACTACTGATTTCGAAGTTATGGACAGAATGCTTGAGATTAATTTATAATTAATACCCCAGATAGCAAAATGTAGTCACGATGCGCGCACAGTGAGGGCACGCGTGCGCGCAGATCACTACACAGATGCGCTTACATATGCGTCTCATATGCAGCGCACGTGTGCCGACGCATTTCCAGCGCACATGAATGAGTAAAAAAAGTTGTATATTTCAAAAGGAAATGCATATATAACGACGGGTTTAATGCAAAATGGCACAAGCGCCAAATTTTTTGAAAAATTGTTAGAAGTCCTGTACTTCTAATAGAGAATTAAATTATATATATATATATATAATATATATATATATATATATATTCTGTTTTAGGTTTCCACGGGCGTTATATGTATTGGTGGTTTTCCGGGATCTGCCCCGTGTTGTCGGTTTTTGGTTCTTAAAATACAATCTCATAAACCATGGTACACTTACCTGAAATCCTTAATAACTTTTATCAATTTATACCTAACAATTATAATAACACGTGGACACAACAAACACAATAGAAAAATAAATACAATACAAACACATCCCGAATGCAGCAATGTAATAAGGTTATGTTTTTGTCGAATTACCGCGTTGACCGGTTACGCGCGAATTATAAAATTTGAATTTAAATGCTATATAATAAATTATAATTTAAATATATATATATATATATATATATATATATATATATATATATGCATGTTATTTTAATTGAACTTACCTAGTGAAACAATGCAAATTGCAATTTTACCTTATTTCATTATTATTATTGATTGTATAATTTTTGTAATTATAAGGTGAATAAAAACGAAATCTACTGTTTTTTTGATAGAATCTGGCATCACTGCCGATAAGCAGTGTAAGAGATCATTGATCACGTCGTGCGCTCATACTGCGCTCATCGCGTGGGCGCGCACGACTATGCTACTCATATGCGTGTGAAATCGACCACATGTGTGCATTCTCACGCCGTGCGACCTACGTGCGACGCACGATTGCTATCTGGGACTTTAGTAATAGGTAATTAAATTTCAATTTTTTCAATGTAAAATATTTATAAATCAACAAAATATGTAATTCTAAACATAATCATTGTTTATACATTTTTATAAGAATGCGCAAATAAAAAAGAACTCCTTTTTTAAATAGAATTTGCTTTTTTTTTAATAAATATTTTGTTAAAATATAAATAATGTTTATTCATCCGACTATAGCAAAAATTTATTTCAAGATTAAAAACATTCAGCAATATAGCCATTTAGAAGGAACGGTGCACTCAGTGCACCGCGCGACCACAAAAATTGGCGCGAGTAGTTAAGGGTTAACACTAAAAAATTGTTTGAAGAAAGCAAAAGGGATGTGACACAATTATTTTATTTTAAATACACAATAGTAGTAACAGTAACATTTATATGTAATATTAAATTTTTACGAAGATTATTATAGAAACCACACTTTTGAGCAAGCAATTTTGAAATAAACGATTAGAATTAGAATTTAATAATCTTTCCCAAACTTGTCCAAAATCAGAATGAACAGCTTCGGATGCCTGTTCATTAAATTGACCTAATCCAACTTTCTTTAACTCGCAAAAATGTTCCATATGGTAAAATACTTAAATATTTTTGGAGTAACATTTTTATTCAATAGCAAGAATTTTTCCTTTTGTAAATGTAATTCAGGGGGTGGTAATATTTCAATAACATTTTTTTGGTTTTCATTTTCATTAACCAAGGGAATATGGCATCTTTTGCAATTGACCCTTATCTACCCACTTTAAGTAATTTCCCGAAATGGTACGTATTAGATTTTGTTATATTGCCCCAAGTGTAAGGATGGTTTGGGACTATGGGACATTAGGCCCATAATAATATTTGCTAACTTTAGGTGAACAGCTAAAACGAAATCTTTTACATTATTTAAATTTAACAGTTGTCCAATACCAAAAACCGACAACACGTAGCAGATCCCGGAGTATATATACAGGGTGTCCGGGAAAAGGAAGTCAATCCGTTAACCATATATTCTTTGAGTTAAAACAATAAGACTTTCATAATACCATTTTTCAATTTAGAGCTTCATGTTCGATATACAGGGCGACAAAGTTTAAAAGTTTTAATAATTCGAGTAATTGATAAGATATTAAGTTCAAATTCGGTACACTACTTCAACATAAATAGTTACATTTTTTGAGATCAACAAAACAAAAAACAATTGTCAAATAATCAAAATAGGGGGGTCCAGTACTGACTGACTCCCCCTATTTTTTAGTACGTGCGCCAATGACTTCCAAACGGTATTTTTTCAGGCAATCATTTATTGTTAACAAAATTTTGTCTCCTATAAAATTTTGATAAAATAATTTGTTTTAGAGATAATTTGTAAAGTGCTTAAATTTACTTTTTTTAATAGTAGACAAACCTTTGACCGAAAGTTTTAATTTTGGATGAAATTTATTATTTTTTGATTATTTTCTTTTTTAGTATATAGGCTGAATTTATGTCTTTTTCCTTTGCCAAAATCGGATAAACATTTTTACATAGGATTAATTTTTGTAGGCTTTACAATTTTAAATTTTCTGTGTAAAGTTTTTCTAGCAGTTTTGCAAAGTTTACAGGAACAGTGTTTTTCTTTTTTATTATCGTATTCGAATAAAGAATAATAGTTAAACTTTATTTTCGTATTAAAATTACCTTTTTCGTATTTACTAAGTGATATTCTGCACAATGTACACAATGTACACAATGTACACAATGAACAGTCTTTCGTCACTAAAATCGAAGTCTTTTAAACAATACTTTTGAATACAGTTTTTTTTGGTATTATTAACCATTCTGTAACATTTACTTTTGGAAAAACAAAGCAAACAAACTATTTTTCGCAACTTAGCGTGAGGCAGCACCTTAAACACCATTTTTAATACTTAAATAACTATAGTGATATTATAATAACTATAGTTATATTATAATAGTTATATTATAATAGTGTAAGCCGAAAACAAAATTTGACAGTTCTTTTAATATAGGGCCAAACCATGGAACACTAAATAAATAGAAATCTTTATTTAGAGAATCAAGCAAATTCAATCAGCAATATTTGCTAAGACTATATAAGAAAGTTTTTAAGTTAATTTGTTAAATCCATAAAAAGTTTTAAATTTAATTTTAATATTTTAACACATTAAAAATATTACTTATTATTGCCCATTAAATAAATATATTACTCATAAATATAACAAATTGATTAAACTTTTTACATCAGTTTTAAAGAAAGTTTATGATTTTGAAAAAAAATGTGTTTTTCAATAAAAAAAAAATAAATATCTGCGCTCCTGTAACTTAATATAAATAAAATAAATTAAATATATAAAAAAAGAATACCTATTCTAAAAGTTGGTTGATTTCCAAATTATTCATAAATAAATTGTTTATTTGGTTCCTTCATCAAATTAAATTAACAAAAAATTTCACTGGTCGTACGATTGTTTTATGAATTTGTCTGATTGTAGCCTTTTATATGCCTAATTAAAAAATGCAAAATTTAAAAATGGGTTATCTCAAAAACTTTTTTCGTCTCTTGTATATGCCCCACCAAAATTATGAAATATAACCGCCCCCTCCTGCACTCCTAAAAATAGCACTTTTTCGAATCCAATTTTTTTTGTCAAGTGTAGAGTTATTTAAACCAAACTTGGAATTTGGATAACGTAATCATTTGTTAAGGTTATTACAAAATCTTACTCAAATTCCTTTAGCTATAATTAACTTATAGACACGGATGTCGAAGCGATTCAAAAAATTAAACATTAAAAGTTATTAACAAAATATTGTTTACAAGGCTGTGACCAATTTTATGGTCAAATAAAATTTTGACAGCTTGCAGACTATTAAATAAGCAATGATTCAGCAATTAATGTCGTTTGCAGTTAGCATAGCTGTAACGTTATAGCTCTAATGTACATGAGCAAGCCGTCCTGCAAAAGTACCGAAATTATGACGGTCATAAAAGAATATGAAGAAGACCTGGTAAACGTTTCATGCCAAAAACCGTTCCTTTTAGAGTTGGATCCAGGGTGTGGGGCGGGAATCCCGCCGCGGGATATCCATAAACACTCGCACGGACCTTGTTATTATTAAAGGCGGTCTAACAGCTCAAAGGTACATTACCGAGATTCTTCAATTAAGTGATCCCACATTCTAATGATATTGGTAACAATTTTTTTTCTAGGAGAAATTAAATCAGCAATATTTTAATTAAACGAGCATTAAAAAATACCATAGACTAAAACAATTAAGTAAAGTTAGCATTAGGTATCTATAGATTGGAGTGAGTTGGGTTGGGTGGGTGGTTTTTGGTTGATTGTGGGCATGTGGCGATTTCCAGCGTAATACGCACATTTTTTTAATAGGACAAATTAAATTACCAATATTTTAATTAAATGAACATAAAAAATACTTGCACCTTAAAACGAAGAAATAATGTTTAATAAATAATTATTTAATATATTATTTAATATATATATTTTATATTCCGCAATATGAAGAAATCTATGCGCGCTTAAATGATTTTTTATGCTTGAAACAACTCCTCCTACATAGTGGCATCCAAGACACCCTTTATATTAGAATCCGTATACCATTATTATAATATAATTAAGTTAATAAATTAAATTAAGTATACAGGGTGTTACAGTAATAACACAAGAATACATACATTATTTTTTTTATAGAACTGATGCACCACCCCCTCCTCTACACATTCTTTATGGGCATATGTATGTTGGAGGACTGCCTACAAAAATTAAACCACTCGCAAGTATGGTTGGATCAACTGTTCAATTTTCAGGATGTATAACCGATTTAACAGTCAACGGTGCAGTTAAAAACTTTGCCAATAGTACAGAAAAGTCAAACGAATATTTAGCATCGTGCGTATTGGACAAGACAGAATTAGAAAATTTGGATGTTCACAAGTGTAAGTCAGATTAACATTTCTTATTAAAAAATATTTTATTAGGTTTCTTTGTACAACGTCAATTTTTAGTTTGAATTCCTATTGCGCTTGCGCTCTATTAAAAAGCATTCGCATCATAATCAGTTACATACACTGATGCGACATTCGTTTATTTCGCACAACTATTAAGTGACTGTCACTGACATCTTATTTAAAATATAGAATTAAAGACGGACAAATCACATTGCTGGCGAAATAAAACTATTAATTCCAGCATCACTTTTTTACATTTTTAAATAGGCTAGTCTAAAAAGTTTTCCTTTGGATATTTTGTAGTACCTATAAAAATTGCTTCACAAGTTCGCCAAAAATCGTCAGCAGTTTCTGAAATATGCCTTAATTTTTATAATAATAATAATAATAATAATAGTGCTTTATTGCCCAACAGTAAAACCATTACAGTACATTCATATTCAAAATATAATAATAATAATAATAATAATAAAAATAAAAAACAGTTAAGGTATATACAAAAACTTTGGCTAAAATTAATTAAAAAATAGGTAAAAAATACAGTATATATACATATACATATATCAGGTACAGTACGGATTATGAGGAGCAACATTCAAGAACAGATTGTATAATGAAACTTAAAGTATTAAAATTAATATCACAGTTTACTGAAATCATGTTAAAATTTTGACACATATAGTAAATCGGTGATTTTTTTCCAATATTGGTATTAGCTCTATGATTCCTAAAGGTTATTTGATTTCTAGAGTTTTTACGAGGTATATTAAAATTTAACCTATCCAATAAGATTGTACAATCGACATTGGCATGGACAATATTGTACAAAAAAGTCACCGAGATAATAATTCTTCTTAAATCTAAAGAATTAACATTAAATATTGCTAAAAGCAGCGCATGATCAAACCCTTGGACAGGATAGTTTCCGTATATTTTAAAGTGAAGCAGCTTGAGAAATTTGCGCTGCACTGTTTCTAAGCCCATTTTATGTGCTTCATAAATCGGGCTCCAGATTAATGAGGCATATTCCAATTTAGACCTAACAAATGCAAAATAGAGTGCCCTTTGCCAGGTTCTTTGCTTTTGTCTATGTAAAACAATTTTTCATAGTTCTCCATCAATTGTTCTTCTCCATGTGTTAATTGGTCTGACTATTCATCTTTTTTTAGATATCATATAGTAGTCGTGCTACCCATATATGTAATTTGTCCTTAGTGGGTGTCCTATAGGGTTTCTGTCCCGAGAGTTCCAGGAAATCCTATCAATTTTAAAGGTCTCGACTCTCGAAAAATCGGGAAATAAAATCTCGAGAGTCTAGACTCTCGGAAATTATTTCAAATCTAAAACCACGAAAAAGGGCGTCTTATGCGCATAAGTTAGTCAGCTAAGCTGGTTGCTTTATTATTAACGCTGTAGTTGCAACTTTGGCAACTTGCTAATAGTAACTTAAAATTTTTGACCCCCTCCCCCAAATGGTCACAGCAGCGCGAACCCCCACCCCCCCATGTCAAGTCACAAATTCAAAAAACTAATAAATGAATGATCATAAAAGTTTAAGGTAGTTGTGCTAAACAATTTTTTTTTAAATTTATTTTTAAAATGAGGAAGTATACCTAGAATATAAATATATATTAGCCACTGGACTTCTACTCTAAATTTGGAAAACTATACCTAATATAGTCACATTAATTTTTATTTTTTAACAAGTAAATTCTGAATAAAAAAATACAAGAGAACAAAAATGTATTTTCTCAAATTTCCTCCAAAGGATTTTTAAAACATTTAACAACAGAGTGAATTGGCATAAAATCGGATTTTTCTTTGTCTTCTTTCTTTTCAGATGGAAGAATTATTCCAGTCAAATCCAGATTATCTTCTTCGAGCCAGTCTACTTGGTCGCCTATCAAAATCGCCATCATTTCTTGTTGCCGCTTTGCTGCTACTTTATTTTTTTATTTTTTCATCCTTCGATTTTTCCTTGTAAAAAACTCGGTGTTTTTGAAGGATTACTTTTGAAGCAAAGTACAGGTTTTACAAATTCTGGCTTCTAAATCTGTCTGTACTGACGAACAATATGAATCATAAGGATTCCTTATTCCTTATTAAGGAATAACAGAGGGCTCAGCAGATTTTTTGTAGATTGAGACTTTTTTAAATAAACAGCGATGGAAATTTAGTAGTTAATAAAATGGCCTCTAATTTGGTCGGCAAAGGAACTTTTAATCCATATTCTGTTTGTTCAATAGGAATGAGAGAGGACAGAAATCATTCCGACAAAATGTTGAAAATTGAGCTTCTGGGGCTCGAACAGCAACATGAATCATCACATTTTAGTATCTGGGTAAAATATTGGCTTGTTCTGACATGCTGTACTGCCTATTTAAAATCCTTTTGGAAAATTAATTTCTGTAATAGTTATATAAATCTATATATATATAGGTAATTAGTTTGGTTTGAACACAAAATATGTATGAAAAATATTTAATTTTGGAGAAAATAAATATAGAAAATCCTTCTTATAATAAGTAAAAAAAAAAACGAATTTTGGACGTCACATTATCACGAACCCCTCCTCACCCCCTTGTCACGAATGGTCACGTTTTGCTAAACCCCTCACCCCCTCCTAGGGCGTGACGTCCTTTATGGACCACCCCTAACCGGAAGTAAAGTTAGTTCTCCAAGTAAAGTGACCAGATTCTGTCAAAAAATAGAGGGATATTTTGTATGAATTTACCTTAATTACAAAATTGACACAATCATACAATGCAAAATGTAAATTTGACGTTACTTAATTATAGTTGATTGTGTCATTTTTGTAATTAAGGTTTATTTACACAAAATCTCCCGCTATTTTTTGACAGAATCTGGTCACTTTACCATAAAGGCTGTTTAAATTTTGATGTCAATGGAATAATAGGCGTTCGAAATTCCGTGTCCACCACTGTACTTTTTTATTTATATCATTCCTCTTTTGGTTCGGTAGTAGTTTTAAGTTTTTTTATACTTTTAATAATTTTTATGTTTGACATTAAGTATACTAGATATCTGGGCATTTTGGGTTTTGTTTAATGAATAATAAATAACTTTTTTTTATTTTTGTTTTAACTTTGTTTATAAAAAATTGAAATGTTTACGTTTCTTTAAAAGTTGTTTTTTTATTATTGGATCTTTACATTTCAAAACCACCGGTACGCGTAGGTACATATGTAGGTATGTTGTTTTTTGGTCGAAATAATGAGGCACGTATTTTTTTGTTTGGCAAAAAAAATTTTGTTGAATTTTGGCGATTTATTTCGTCGACCGAAAAAGCTTTTATTTTAAATGCAAATACCCAGCAAGCACAAACATCCTCAGGACGTCCTTGGACCAGCCTAAATGTCCCAGAATGGGATGATCCTATAAGGACTTCCTGAGGACGTCCATAGGTTGACCTTATCGGACATTAGATCTTTTTTAGGTCCCATTTTGGGATATCCTAGGAACGTCATTTAAGGTCGCTATGTCGCTAGGACCTAATAATATCCTAATTAAAGCCTAAAATGGGCTGATCATAGGACTAATCCCAGAGACATCCTCAGAATGTCCCGTTAGGTTTTGGTAAACATTTGGTATGCACATTTTTCTATAAGAATATTTTATCCATATAATTAATAATACCTACATTTTTTTTACATAATTTTGCATCGGCACATCTCAAAAATGTCAATCAATATAATTATAATATTATATTATATAGATTTTTTTAAGTTTATACACGACTTGCATACTATATTTTATCTACGACAATCACAAAAATTAAATTACTTTCAACAATTATATATAAATAATTATTTATAAAATCTGACATCGACCAGTCTATTCTAACCTCACTTTTTAGACCCTTTATTTTGATGGTCATTGTTTCGCAGTTGAAAACTGCAATTAACTTCAACCCATGACTAAAATGTCCGAATGCCATTTCTGCCAACTTCAGCCCGTCACTAAAACGCCATAAAGCCACAACTTGTCAATGTGTATTTAAAATATCATGGAAACATGTACGATAATCGGCGTTTTAAAGGCGGGAGTTTAAAAACAATATTATATTTTGTGTATTTGTTATATGACCACAAAATATATTTTGTATACAACTGGATAGCAGCCAACTTAATACGCATGCGCAGAAATGACGGCTGGTAATTAATAATTGTTCAAACACCTTGTTTGTTTGTTTGTTTTATAAATAATAAATAAGGTAGTAAGCGTCAGTTAACCTTAAAAATGTAATTACAAACGCAATCTATATTTTATTTAATAGTTTGAGTTACCGATTGTTTTAAATTTGCCGCCATACGTTATGGTGTTAACCATTGTCTATGGTGGTAACACTGGATGGAGAGAAAGCTAAGATGGCGTATAGCACAATCCACACAAAGTTGTGTGGATTGTGGCGTATAGCGTCCTTTAGTTGTTTGGCGCCTTTTTGTTAGAAAGAATCATAGATAACACTGTGAAAGGAATTCTTTGTCTGTGCCGTGAATTCTTTTTCTGTGTCGTGAACCTGGTTTAAGGCCGTGAATCTCGTGTTCTCCAAGTGTGTTTGTTATAATATAATATTATTATAGTGTTCTCTTCGAAATAAACCTTAAATACTAATTTGCTTGAAGATTGAAGTGAACAACAATCATAAAATTCTGGTGAGTTATAATAAGCATACTTGTTAAAAAATAAAATGTGTTTCAAGATTTTCAGAAAAAAAAAGCCACTAATTTGCTAATTTAACCGACTTTGTAGCTGCAATAATAATGAAGTTAAAATGGTGAGCAGATAACTTTGAACACTGTGTATATATAAATAATATAACTATTATATTTATTTAGAATTATTATTTATTTTACTTTTATAATAGGTGTTTATTTTTTATTTTATATAATTGGCTGTGTAAAATTATATATATGTATACAGAATTAAAATAATATATTTTATAAAGTAATAAAATGGTATTTGAT